CTAGGTCTTCTATCTTAGGAGAATAATTCATCAGACTAAGATTCTATCCTAGGAGATTCATCTGACTAGGTCTCTTATCTTAGGAGAAAGATTCATCAGACTAAGATTTCTTTTGATCTTAAGAGAAACATTCATCAGACTAAGATTTTGATCCTCAGAGAAAATTCATCAGACTAGGATTTCTATCTTAGGAGAAAGATTCATCAGACTAAGATTTTCTATCTTAGGAGAAAAATTCATCAGACTAAGATTTTCTATCTTAGGAGAAAAATTCATCAGACTAAGATTTGATTGGGAGGAAATCCACCAGACTAGGACTTTTTATCCTAGGAGGAAAAATGTGAAGAGGAATGGCAACATCTTATGCACACTAACAAGACAGGTAAGGGCAAAGATTTGAGAAACTTCCCTTTGTCGTCTCTTCTCTTCTTCTTTTTTCCTTTCTTTTCTTTTTTTTCTTGTTTTTGAACTCACTTGCTTGCACTTCTTTGTTCCTGTTTCAAAAAAAGAAAACTTGTGAGTTTAAATGTGGTGGTTAGTTTGTGGCCTTGACCTTGAAGGTGGTTGCTTCAGCACTTGCCAAGATAACTTTGATTTCAACTTGGAAGACCTTGCCTGTTATCGACTACCCATTTTCTATCAATCCTTATCACAGAAAACACTTCTGCTCCATTCGATCCCAATATCCTCTATCTTTTGCATTTTGCGTATGAATTGATATTTATCGAACCCTTGCATTTCACATGAGTCCCAAAGCATGTTGATTGTTACCAACTCAATGCGCATACCACTTTTTCCTGACTTATGCCACTCTGATGTGCTAGCCAAATTCATTTTGTGCAATTGGAAAGTTGGTAGCAAATTTTAAAGTCATTTCTCACTTGTTTTGATAAAACAGACTCAAGAAGGGACTCAAACAAAACAAGAGGAACAAAATAAGGGACAAGGGAAATAGATGATACCTAACAAGAAAATTACAAAGTAGAAACTTATCAGATGTGGATACCAACTCTAATAACCATGACATGCACCTTTGGATTAAGTGGCCTAATCTCCCAAGCAAGTCTAATATTGAACTCTTGTTGTACCTCTTCACTGTGAAACTGGGCTTCAGCACTTCAATTGTCCCATTTGATCCACAATCCTCAGTCGACTTGTAGTGCCCTGAAGGTTTTCACCATCAAGCCTCTCTCATTTTGCTCTTTTCTCAACTCGTCGTTGCCTTACGGTGCCCCTGAGGGTTTTCACCGATAAGACTCTCTCATTTTATCATTTTCTCTCATTGTGCTGAGAACAAAGGTATTACCCATGATGCAGGAAGATCATACTTTCACCACACACTTGATTTGGCATCCTCAAAGACTGGTCAGAAGGTCTTTCATTGGACCGTAATGTAGGCTTTTGGACAGGGTTGGAAAGAAAGGATGGTATGAAGGCTGAAAATAATTTAAGATGAAAAGGGTTCAAAATTACAACTTTTGAAATAAGGCCTTTTGGCAAAATTAAAACTTTTGTCCCAGTTTCTTGGAGTTTGGAGATTTTTTTATTTTTTTGATGGGATTTCTAAGAAATTCTGCCTCACTTTTGACTTCGGGGATTATGAAATATTTTATTTGGTGTGACCGAACCGTAAGACTGCCTACATATCTTGTGGTGACAAGAATCAGGTCAAATGTAGTTCAAACACAAAGTTGGACTATTTTGTTGTTTTCTTTTCCTTTTCTTTCTTTCCTTCTTCTTTTTTCTTTTTTTCTTTTTTTTCTTCTCTTTTTTTTTTAATTTTTTTTCTTTCCTTTTCTCCTTTTTCTCTTTTTCTTTTCTTTTCTAGTTCCCAACTCTACTTCTGATTCCAAAAGAGGGATATGAAACAAAAATTAGGGCTCAAAATGGGTAGCAAAGGATAAAAGTGTTTGGGTAGCAGAATAAAATGTCTTCGTCATACCAAACTTAAAAATGCCAAGTACAAACATGCAGTTGAAGATAAGCAAACAAATCATACGTAGTACCTATTGACGGCATCAACACAAACAAAAAGTGTCATGGACATTATCTTTGTCCCAATGAATGATCCTTGCCGGTTCGAAGCAGACTTGATTCAAACTTATCTTGATATGGAAGAATGCATTTTAGGACTGACTGATTTACCTCAAACTGCTCGAGAGACATTCCCATGTTGTATTCTCTCATCAACCTCTTGATTTTTTAGACTAACTGTCTCAGTTTCACTCAATTTAAGCTTAAGGTTATCTCAGAATGCGTGAATCTTTACTTCTTCCCTCAAATGCACATTCAAAATTGTGCCATTGTTTCCTGATTAGACTAACTTTCAAGATCGGGCTGAGAATTATATGTGTGTGTCATGTCACTAGAGTCAGCATGAAAAGAATTATAAAATAGAATGTGACCTAAACAAAAACTGACTAGAACTAACAGAAAATAGGAGATTGCATTAGACAGATGGTGAACATGGTTTGAACAAAACAAGCAAAATAGACATGGGTTACAACCTTGGAACAATCCTAGATAACACTAGATGAGTTGCTACAACTAAACGAACTAGGCAAAATAAGAAGAACAAGAGTTTGGGTCAGAAGACAATATCCGAATTACAACCCTGGAATAACCCGAACAACAGAAATGACAACAGAATAAACCACCAAAACTCTTTCCTGGCTAGCCAAGAAAGGAGTGTCTTTCTGATTACTAGGCTCGACATCTTAGCCATTGGATTGCACATCAAAATTACTGGGACCTTCACCAATTTCAATATCATTAACTTCAGTCAGCAAGTTTCCAAGAGAATTCTCATACTCCCTGCCACCATGCATCTTCCCCACAAAGTGTGCATCATCATGTGCAGGTAAAGGATTCTATGCAATGTTCTGGGTGTCACTGTCCTGGACCACAATTATCCCTTCTTGAATCATTCTTTCTATCTCCCTTTTCAAATCCCGACAACTTTTGACATTGTGCCCCTGGGCATTGGAATAGTATTCACACCTTTTAGAAGGATCAAAGCTTCTTGCACGCGGGTCCACATGATTCAGAGGAATAGGTGCAATCAGGTCATGATGCTTTAATTTCTCAAACAAGATTCCATAGGACTCTCCTATCGGTGTAAGATTATCTTTCAACCTTTGTTTACCTCTATACCCCTGGCTTGTAGAGGCTGGTGGAGATCTTGTGGTGCTGGCGCTCGCCTCCTGGGGTGTCTTGGTGGATGGACAAGATACTGGGGTGGAGAAACAGAGTATTGTGGGTTCTCAGGGGAATTGTCAAAAAACAAATGAGGCTGGTCATGCCTTCGAGATGTTCTTCTATGACCTCTTCTCGACCTTGATATCATCATGATTTCTTCAACCTTCTCACTTGTGCCACTAAAATTACCAGATTCAATTTGGAAAGCCTGAGTTGCAGCTTTGAGAGTTGCTTGACTTATAATTTTGCCTGTCTTAAGGCCATTCTCTACCATTTCTCCCATTTTGATTGCTTCTGAGAATGATTTGCCAACTGCAGACATCATGTTTTGAAAGTAATCGGGCTCTTGAGCCTGAAGGAAGACAGTGATTAGCTCGTAGTCATCCATGGGTGGCTTAACTCTAGCTGCTTGTTCTCACCATTTAATGGCATATTCCCTGAAACTTTCAATTGGTTTCTTCTTCAGATTTGAAAGGGAATTACGGTCCGGGGCGATGTCAATGTTATATTGGAATTGTTTCACAAAGGCCTGCGCCATGTCATCCCAGACATACCAGCAAGATGTGTCTTGAACCATAAACCATTCAGAGGTTATACCTGTAAGGCTTTCCCCAAAATAAACCATCAGTAATTCTTCATTTCCTCCCACACCCCGTAGTCAATTGCAATACCTTTTCAGGTGGGTATGGGGTCTCCATGTCCATCATACTTCTTGAATTTGGGGATCTTGAAACCAGGTGGCAAGTGGACATCGGGGAACATACATAGATCCTTGAAGGCAGTACTCTTCTGACCTGCCAACCTTTGTATGTTTTTCAATCGTTGTTCTAAGCTTTTCACTCTTTGGGTCATTTCTTCCCGTGTCGTCTTTTGGGCAGGCTTCTCAATGTTTTCAAGAAGATCAAACAAGTACGAGTGGTACTCAGGAGAGTGGTACTGCTCTTGCTAGATTGCAAATTATGACTCATGAGTTTTACTCTGCACCACCGTCGGCTGTGTGATGGTAAAGACAGGCATAACTGAAGTGGTTGTCTGATTGGTTGTCAATGGCACACTGAAGTTCCAGCTATAGTCTTGCAATTGGATAAAGACTGAACCTAAATGGATGGAATTGATCGGACAATGAAACCGGAGTGGTAGTAGCCGAGATGGGTGTAAACTCTAGGAAAGCATAAGAAAGGGGTGGTCCTTGATCATAGGCCCATGCTTGACACATTTCAGACATTTGTTGTTTCAGCCTTTGGACCTCCTCGTTCAATTTGGATTCAGACTCCACAATCTCCCTCGAGGGGTCGACAACTCCTGTATCCAAGTCTTTGCTAGCTCTGGCTTCCTTGCTTTTTGACCTTGTGTTGTATGGATAAATCACCAAAATGCCACAAACTAACCACCCTCTGTTATAATGAAAGTAACAAAGAGGAGTAAAACAAAGCCAACATATTAGCATTAGGACATTTATCAAATAGAAATATCACATTGCGTGCAATGCCCCTAGCAACAATTAACGGTTCTAGAATGGCTTCGAGGGTCGCAAGGTCATTTGGCATCATCCCAATTTCATTCTTCTTGCCCCATTTCCTCTTCATTTTCCTTTCTAACACCGCTTGGTTTTTTCATTTCTTTTCCCCTCCTTTCTTTCCTCTCACTTCTTACATCCACAATTTCATTCTTTTTCTTTTTTTTTCTTCCTTTTTTTGGTTTTTTTAATGATGATTCGATCGAACCCTATGTAGGTTGCCTACGTATCATGTCCCTCATGAATCAGATCAAGCGTAGTTCTTGAAAAGTGATGGAAAATAAACTAAGAATCAAAAATCTTTTTGAATTTCATTTATAACTTTTTTTTTCAAATACAAAACAGGAAGTACTATAACAAAAGACTCAAAAATCTTAATTAGACTGACAGACTCGATACTACTGTACAAGCATAATAATTAAAAGACACCATAAAATAGACTAAAAAATAAAAAGTTTGCTCAAGCAGCTCGTGCATGCAATGGTCTTAACTAGAATGGTCTTGGGGTATTTGTCATGCTCAAACTGTGGTAAATGAATCCATACCTGAATGATAAAAATAAGACCAAATAGATTAGTGACTCAAGACACTATGCGACACCACAACACCTCCTATTGAACACATGCAAGACACGATTGGGCTATTTTTGAAAAGTAACCTACGTGGCCAAGAGTGGATAGAAGTGCTAACTCAACAAAGGTAACCCAAATATATGGAAATACCTCAATAAAGCTTATATGGATTCAAACTCCCAATAAACATGGCCCAAAATTAATTTGCAGAAATCACCCATTCTGCAAAAACGGCCGATATGGCCAGAAGTGGCTAAAGATGCAAACTCGAAAAGGATGGACCTTAAGGAAATATGACACCTTGTTTTGGACTCAAGATCCTAAGACATAAGTCATTGAACCACTTTTGTGAAATGACCCCATTTTGCAAGAATGGTCGAGGTGGCCAAAATGGTTAGACATGCAAGATTTGGCTAACACCCCGTGAAACCAAGAACCTAAGACTTACTAGGAAGACCGGACCTTATGTGGGCTGCCTACGTATCCCGCCCCGAAAGACAAGAATCAGATATGCGTAATTCGGGAAGATTGGACATGGGAGAAACAACAACAACAACAACAACAACAACAACAACGACCCAGTATAATCCTACAAGTGGGGTCTGGNGGGAAGATTAGACATGGGAGAAAGCCTTTTAAAAATGCAACTAATTCGGAGAACCATATTTTTTGTCTTTTTTGAGAAATGATGAAAAATGTAAAATCTTTTTAAATTTTTTTTTCTCTTTTTTTTTGAATTTTTGGAAAATAATAGAAAAGTGTAAAATCTTTTTGGATTTTTTTTAATTTTTGGAAAATAATGGGAAAGTGTAAAATCTTTTTGAATTTTTTATTTTCATTTTTTTTTTTATTTTTCTTGAAAAAGTTGTGAAATAAAAATATAACCGGGACCTACTTGCTCCATTTTTTCACCCTTCTTTCCAAAGCATCGGTCCGCCAAATGACCTTTCTACCCTCGAAGATGCAACATATATCACATAAGAATGATTGAATGTCTTTTTTGGGCCACGGGCCCATTTTTGACAAAATTTGGATAGGCTTCTTATAAAGGGACACGGTGCTTGGGACCGAACCTTAGTAGGTGTAAATGACATGATGCAAATAAAGATGACCTAAAGGCTGACCTAAGTTTGGGTTCACTAACAAGGCAATTCGGGGGAGCGTATGGTCGATGGTGGCTGCTCAAGCTTTCCACCCTCTCCATACGTCCGACGGCTCCCCCTCCTAAATTAAGGGTGACTCAACAAAGAGTTTGTGCACGCGACGCATACTCCGAGACTTGTTGCAGAAAGAAGACTCATGGTTATGCAAATGATGACAGTTTATAAAGCATTAACACATAAAGAAAAAACTGTAAACAAATAAGCAACTAGCAAATAAAACGACATAAACAAAATAAAAATCAAATAAAGCAAACAAAACACATAAAACCTCAACCGAAAATGTTAAAAAGCCAACAAGATCAAGTACTAGCTCGAACCTGCAATTCCCCAGCAGAGTCGCCAGAGATGTCACATCCCTTTTTTTTACAAACCATTAACCTTCTTAAAATAATAAAAAGATTTTGTAAATCTCAAAAGGGTTTTCAAATTTGAAAAGTGACAAAATTGTGTTCAAAAGGATTTTTTCAGTCGCCACCTGACATTTGATTTCGATGTGTCAAGTCACCGTTTTCTAAAAAATTTCTCCTTTTTAAAACACTTGAGACTCCAAAACTAAGTCTGCACTAGAGATTTGGGTAAGAGGGTTCATTTGACTCGGGGAGAAGGTGTTAGGCACTCCCCAAGTCCCGTAACTAGTACGGTTGGGTACATGATCAAGTTGGCTCTTAGAATATTCGAATTGAGGTAAAAACAAACACGGAAAAAAAAACACACAAGAGGCTCGAGGTCATCCCTACCTAATAAGAGAAAATGAAAAGGAAAAGAAAAGAAAAGTCCTAAGCTAACCTATACTACGACTTCTGCACCATGCTCGTCAAGGCCTCCAAAATATTTACATAGTTCTTCGGGGCATACCCCGGATAATAATATTTACAAACTTTACGGGGCATTCCCCGGATAAATTCAACTAAGGGACAACCTCTCACCTTATATCCGAACATTGTAAATTAAAATAAACTTTCTAAAGGTTTTCCTACCTAAATGATAAAGGCCTAAGCATGCTCCTAGCGACTTGAACAAATAAAGTATAATTAAACTTAATATTAAGCCCAATTCTACGCATAAACATATGACCAAAGCCTAGATTTCATTTAATCTAAGCTAACGAGAGCCTCATCATTTCAAATTCCAACCCCACGGCCCAATTTTGATATTTTCTTTTAAATCCCAAACACAACACTGTAATTTTGAATTGTGATTTTAAACTAAATAAGCTATGGTAAGGGAAAAGTCACTAGCAAACAAGACCAACCAAAACAAAGAAGATAAACCAACTTTAAGCCAAGAACATTTAGTTTAAACTCAATAGATCTAACTCATGAAGCATACATAGCACTTAATCATGCAAAATAAACAACCAGATCATATAACCAATCCTTTAAGAATCAATAAGCATATAAAGTCAATAAAATAAGGAAGCGGATACCTTGGACAGTGTATCAACGAGCTTAAGTCTTCGCAATTCTGTTTCGAAGCTCGAATAACAGACAATGACTCGAACAAAAATACGACGCAACTGGAACCTCGAACGACCTCGATGTATTGAAAGAATGACTGAACCTTGCCGGATTTTTCGGAACTCAAACTTCGATTGCGATTGTGCAACGATGGTATTGAACATAAATCGTAGCTAATTCAAAACTTGATAAAGAAGAATATAATGGAGGGGGTCATTTTTGGTTGCTGCTGTGAGTGCAGGCGGCGGCTACAGGTGGTTCGGCGGCTGGAGAATACTCTGGCAGTGGAATCGATCAAGGGGCGCCGTTTGGTTCAGTGTCTAGGTCTCGATGGCTTAGGGTTGTGGTCTCGCTGCTTAGGTTACATGGGGTTAGGTTGCTGATTTCCGGCGGTTTTGTGGTGGTAGCCGACAGCTGCTTAGTTAGGTCTTTGTGTTGTCTCCTGCATTGAAGAAGAAGATGGGTTATGGTTTTTGTTTGGTAGGTTGGAGAAGGCTGCTGGGTTTAAGGTCGTTTGGCGTGGCTGGTCCGTTGCTGAAGGTGACGGCTGGTCAGGTTCTTGTTGTAGTGTGCTAGGGTTTCATTATTGTGTCCACATGAAGAAGAAAATGAAGGTTGCTAGGTTTTCTAGGGCTCTTTTTCTTCAAGATTTTCCTTGCGTAGGTTATATCTTCCAGGTTGAAGATCTGATCGCTAGGTCTTGTTTTTTAGTTCAAAAATAAGAGACCAATCTGATGGGTTTGGGCATGGGTAAGGTATTTGGGCTTCAAATTTGGGCTAAAATTGTATTTAAAAATGGCCTTTTAGCTTTATAAGACTAAAAATATTGATTTCTTTCCTAAAACAATATACTATAAAATTGTAAAATTATTATTAATTAATTAAAACAAACTATATTATGACATGAAGCTATTTTTGGTGTTTTTAAAAAATTATAATAAAAATGGGTAAAAAATAATATTCTTCTAAAAATACCTAATACCTTAATTAAATAGAGAAGAATGAAATTATTTTTTTTATTTTTCCATTTTATGATAAAAATAATGTAAAAGAGTCAAAATTAGTTGAAATAACTATATTAGACCTAAACTAAGTATTTAAAAGCTAAAAAGAGTAAAATCTCGGGGAGGGTCAAAAATTACATGTCTACAGCAGGCAATTTGTTCTTATTTTCAAAATTATAAATTTCATACTTTATGGAGGATTTCATATAGATATAATCGGGGTGATCTGATAGTTTAAAAAAAAAATTATACTATCATTGTATATAAATTAAACTCGGAATTAAATATTTTCGCATCTCATTCCCATGCCACCTTCGAGATAGCCAGAAGTTACCATCTTATGCTCAACACATGTTGACTCTTAATTAATCTGATTGTATAAATAATTATTTTTATATCTTTTAGTGTATAAAACTTCAATGATTTTGCGTCAGTTACTATTCAATTAAAGATTTATGTATTTGAAGGATCATTATTTTTCCATTTTGCATGCAGATATACTACACCTCCAAGTGTGTCTCTATATGTATTTTAATCCCCAGTGTCTCATTTTAATTGTTTACATCTTTCACTCTTCTTTTTGTGGTTGGGGAGATTTTGGGAGTTAAGAGCCGATTCAACTTATAAAAATGTCATATATGAGGGTATTGATCGAATAATCAATAGATTAGTCATAATTAAATGAAAAGAGATTACTGCATACGATTGCTTCAGAATTTGGATATCCTATAAATGGAGGGGATAAACTTCATAATTAGTCACTCACATTGCAAAATTGTATGAAGAATATTGATCGATGCCAATTAACTGCTATCCTTTCGAGTCAAGATGAAGAGAATTAAGTAGAGAAATTTTCATAAAGCACTATCTTTTAGTAGTAATTAGCCATCTATAGATACCATTTGTTATATTACGGATTATAGATACATTTTCTGTGGTTATAAGATGTATTTGATGTATTTAAGCTATTGTATTCATGAATACAGTAGCAAAAATAGGTGTGAATCGGGGAAGTCCAGCTAATCAGGTGTTGTATTCGAGTGTATTCGACTGTATTCATGGAGTGAAACATGGGATTACAGCTGGACAGATTATTATATTCGACTGTATTCACGACGTGAAATAGGGGATTACACTGTTTTTAAAACGGAAAGTGAATCAATTAACATAATAGACTCCTAATATAATTCAACAAACTCAATTATAACACATAAATTTTGTATTTTTCAGTTATAAAAAAGATTCTAAATCGAAAAATACCCCAAAAACATAGCAATCTTCAGAGAAATTATATAATACATATGATACATAAATTATATTAATTAAAAAAAACATATGAATACAGTCATGGCATATAGCGAGACAGTGAATACAATGAAATACATAGAATACAACGGGATATATTGAAATACAATGAGAAAAAAGACACTGAATACAATGAAATACATGGAATACAACGAGATACATTGAATTACAATGGAAAAAAAAAGAGTGAATACAATGAAATACATAGAAATACAACGAGATACATTGAAATGCTCTTAAAAAAAGGTAACAGAATCTTCAAATTGCTCAACCCCAGACTTCAGACGACCTATTTTAGTCGACGATTTTCCGACGACCCATCGGATTCCGACCATGATTCTATAAGCAGCGATGAGAGAAAGAAGAAGAAAATGAGAAAGATCGCTGAAGAAGAAATTGCTAGCATCCGTAACGCATTTGAACAAGTTAAAGTCCCAGAACTAAATTTGGCTAGCACCCGCTGGTAACGAATCCGAAGAAATTGCTAGCACCCACTGAAGAAGAAATTGCCAAGAAGTTAAAGTCCCAAAAAATACCTGTTGATTATAAAGAAGAACAATCTACTTCCGAAAACAATCAAAATCGGAAAGGAAGAAGAAGAAGAAGAAGAAGAAGAAGAAGAAGAAGAAGAAGAAGAAGAAGAAACATACTAGAGTTAGCCATGGAGATTTCGTTGCGTTCATTAGGATCAAGTCGGAGAGGCTGCGTATTTTATGAGAGAGAGGGCAGCATATTTTATGGCTTAAGGGTAGGAGGTGACCATAAATAGGTATTTGGCTATAAAAATCAAAAGATAGTTATAAAATATAATTTTTAAAAAAATAATATTTATTTAAAATAAATAACGTATCAACCTTTGTTATAGGAGGTAACCTTTGCAATAAGAGGTAACTATGTTCATGCACCACCGATATAGACGTCCATTTTTCCTTTTTTTTTTTTTTTTTTTTTTTTTGTTCTACTTTTTCCCCCTCTGTGACTGTAGTGTTTATCAGCTGATAGACGGAAAGGGCCAAGGATGTGGCGTGCTGCAAGTGTTTTATGTCACTCCACAGGGCAGATCAGAATTAATTTAAAGTCTATTGGTTCTTACATCAAATTAATAATAATAATAATTTTGTTCACAATCTAACTATTTATAGATGTTAATACTCCCTCCATTTTAATTTATGTAAACTTATAATTTCTTTGTGGTCCGTTCCAAAAAGAATGACCCCTTTTTAAATTTGGAAATAATTTAACTTAAACTTCCAATACTACCCCTTAATGATAAACTTTTATAATCACACAAATACTCTAGACCCCTTTTTGACATGTTTAAGACCACAAATTTTAAATTTTTTTTTTTAAACTTCGTGTCTAGTCAAAAAAATTCACATAAATTGAAACGGAATGAATATATTTTTTAATACATACACAAAATTTGGACAAAAACTATTGGATTCACGTTAACTTGATATTCATATATGATAGATCGCTCATGTATCACTCTAGCAAGCTAGTACCGGATATTTCCGATTTCTTGCTAGACTGACTCTCCTCCTAGAAAAGATGACACTTATTATTTGTAGAGTTGAATGATATTTTCTTCAACTATTATTTTCATTTTAAGATTATTGATAACTATAAAATGTTGTGGTTTAGAATAACTTTTATATAGTTTATAAATATGTACACTGGATTTTGAAGAAAAAAAATTTGCGGAATCAACATCCAAATTAATATAAAAAGTATGCATTTACAAGAGAGGAATGTAGCTCGTATATATGCAGCATGTGCGAACGTGCCTACTATAAACAATTCGAACTATACAAAAATCTATAAAAACTTCATATATAGATATATTAACTTTGTCCTATATCATGAGAATATAACGAATGCAATTTTGTTACTTCTGCTGACTTAAAATTTTAAGTTCGCTTCTTACGTTGATTCTTGTACTGTTAATCCAGGTAAATGTTAGATATAATTGCAGATAACCAAATAGGTAAAAGAGATAATTATATATGAAGTGCATGCAGTCATGAATGGTAAGGGTTATCACCTCCCACCTTAAGCAGAAGTTTTGGGTTTAAGCCTTTGGACTAGAAAAAATTCTAATAGAGCTCAAGTGCTTTTCGGTCAAAGTGCTTTCCTCTATAAATTAAAATTAAATAAAAAAAAGTATATTTGGGGGTTGGGTTTAGACGAATGATAGGAAAGTAGGTAGCTGGCTTTTGCAATTGGTTGGGTAAGAGGTGAATAACTCGTGTACGATTCAAAGTGGGGCTATCTTTCTCTTTGCACGGCATATTTGATCACCAATCTCCAAATATAAGGGGATGGGGACGAATAGGACTGAGACAGGACATGCACAAATTTTATTTGAAAAAGCCGAATCACTTTCGATGCCTCACTACAATGTTTAGGTTGGCCATAAATTGTTTATGGTTTTCCTTGCAAAGGTGAACTTTTTCTTATGTTGAGAAAAAGTCCAAAATAGTCAAGAAAACATTATGAATTTTCTCATGAGAATAGTGTCAATTTAGCTACTCAAAATTGGTAACCGAAGCTATATATATAAGCCAAAAAATTAAAAGCATTCATTTGTCCCCACATGCAAGGTTGCAATATGAAATTTTTTTTATTCACCTAAACTTGAATATTTGCAGGAAATTACTTCTGTCAATCAACCCAATCACTTCCTCGAGTAATCTAGCGAAAATATGAAGAATTAATATTAGGGGTCATCATGATTCGGTTTGGATCAATTTTCCCACCAAAAAAATAAATCGAGTAGGTCGATATTTCAAATATTGGAACTAAATCAAATCAATTAAGTTGATTTTTTATCGATTCGGTTTATGTTGATTTTGTCATTTTTTTTTATTTTTCGGTTATTTATCAATTTTTTCTTAAATATGAGACATACACTACAAAACACATATATCCAGCGAGTATATTTTCAATGTAACACTATCAAACCAATTGCTCTTTGAGAAATCTATCATTTCCTAAGATATATTGATGATAATTGAATCAAATAGTGATGAATAATTTAAGGACTCAATTAAAAAAATATTATTTGTTTTTGGTTTTAGTTTTGAATTTTTACAATATCAAATTTGGTTTGGTTTGGTTTTAATCAAAAAATAACCTGAAAATCCGAATCAAACCAACTATAGAAGTACCTACTTCAAATTTATTACTACACCTATATACATGTATATTTTTCTAAAATTTTATGGTACATGTTAATCATTTGCACTTTTAGTCTAGTTCTTTGCTATTATAATAATCTAGTTCTTTTTCTCCACATTCTAGTTTGATTGGTAGTTTGTTTTTGCTAAGTGCAAGAATCTATTTCATGTTAAATTCAAGCTAATACAT